CAGCCGGAGAAAGACAAACCCAAGAAAACTAGAAACAGAGCTAGAACCCTGACGATACTGAAAACTTCTAGACAAAGCCGTGGCTAAAGCCCACAAAACCGCCGGATTCGATTTACATAGTCAGTGAATTCCTTTTGTTTTTAAGCCGGTTCACACTGGATTTTCTGACACCTGCTAAGGAAAGCATCCCGGTACATTAACCCTGAAGCTCACCATTCGCCAAAAATCCTGTTCAACAAAAAGTGTTTCAACTAAGATCACCAGAAAGCTAAAATCCAATACCCCATTTCCTCGGTCAGAAAATGATCTTTACAGAATTCGGAGGTACTGCTATCACCTCAACTCTTATTGAGGATTAACAGAAAAATGTTTTTTAATAAAACTATTTTTAGTTTATGATTCATTTTGCTGTTTAATAGACTTTATATAAAAACGTAGGTGAAAACAATGGACACGTGCGCAGGCGTGTGCACGTGCGTGGGAACGATCAACCGCAGGTCCCAGCACAGTTCTGAGTGAATCAAAGAAGCAGAGTGCCATCGTCCCGATGTCTCTGCGCCTCCTTCTGCCGCTCCCTTCTACGTCAATCCATTTCAACCCAACAAGCGCTTCTGACATTTAATATCTGTAACACATTACGCTAAGTGCTGAGACTATAAAAAAGAAAGGAGGGAGGGAGAAAAGGACACAAACTAAAACAGTTCCTGTTTTTATGAAGTTCGTAATCTTGTAGGAGACGCACCTACGTACGTTCACCTGAATGGTAGGAAAACGGCATTTATATCCACTATGAGAGAAGAATAAATAAGCATGTGGGAGTGCAGGAAAGCGGGGTGGCAGGCCCCAGCTGGCGTGGGGAGCAGGTGCTCTGAGGTGGTCTCCCTGAGTAAGTGACAACTGGCTGGTCACTGGAGGATCTTGATGGAAGAGAGAGGAGGCGTTCTGGGTGGAGGATTTGGCACGTAACCAAGGCACGAGAAGAAGTGGCTCGCACACCTGGGACAAGTTCCAGTGTGATACGACCACCCGGCGTCCACGTAAAGGAGAATACCGGAAAATGAGGCCGGAAAGGGAGACGAGAGCCAGAGTTCAAAAAGTCGAACGTCATTAGGGACAGGCAGTCGGAGGAGGTCCCTGAAACGTGTACGTTTAGGACATGTCAAGTCCTGAATTGCCAATTCTCTTCTCAAACACTTCTATTTTGATGTCACCTACACCTGGAAATCTCCATGTTTCTATTCCTCCCCCCACCATACAGTCAGGAAATAGATTTTTTAGAGAGAGAGAGAAAGAGAGAGAGAGAGAGAGAGAGAGAGAGAGAGAGAGAGAGAGAG